CGGATGGCCTTATACTGCACTTTAGGATGAAAATGTTGGTCTTGGCACTACAGAAGCACATGCGGAGCGCCTAGATGGAAGGCGCTGCAGTTAAGTGTAGTTTAAGCTCGTATCTCATTAGGCAAGAGTGAGGGATTGTGGTAATAAATTGTTAATTGCCTCCTTACTCTCCTCTTCAATAGAACTCATTCTCACCGGAAATACTCTTATCCCTTTTTCCCCCGTAGGCTGATTTCATAGCCATGGAAACGTTGTTCCCCTGGCTTTTCTTTGGCTTCTACTCTGAGGTACTTTTTTCCTCGTCTCTTCAATGGTGAAGCATGCATCTTGTGGGCCTGTTCACTACCCCTCCGCCTTTTGCTGCGACATGACCTCTCTCCTGCCATAGATCCTTCCCAATCCAACTTCTCCAAATTAATTTCCTCCCTCATTTTCTTTTCTAGGCTGATTTTTTCCAATCTTACAGATATTCGCCGAGAAGTGGCCATCGGCACGCAGTCGGATGAAATTTCAAAGATGCCTGCAGACAGCGACAGTCCATTCGTCAACGCGGAAGACGATGACGAAGACGACGGTTACATTGATGACAATCCTCTGGACGATTTGGACCAATTCACCTTGAAGATTGACATGGACGGTGGCTTCATTGTCTATGACGCAACCATCTGTGATCCAATTCTTTCAAAACCCATCAGCTCGTGGATTGATGATGTCACTAGTGAACCGAATGACAGTGACACCGAAGGGAGGGATGGCCGTCAAGGCTTGACGGCATCATCACCTCCTCAGAAGACCACGACGAGTAAAGCAAAGGTGCCAACGGAGAGGGCGGGGAGGGACGTGCCAGACATGGAAAGCTACATATTTTCCAACTCTTCGCTTACAACGTCTGGTGTGTCCACACTTTCCAGTTTGGATTGTCGTCTAGTTGGAGAGGATGTTCAGGTGGCGTCAATTCAGAGGTCATTCAGTGTGGATAACCTCGACAAGTTCTCAAAACCACGTAAGTTGAGACTTAATTCGGTTGGAGGGAGAGGGTGTTAATCTCCAGACGTCTGACTGAATGAGTATGCACTCGCTGATGGTTGATTTTCTAGGCCGTGTGGAGTACTTGAGGGAGAGCGATTATCTTCAAGTGGCGTGGGAAGACTAAACCACTTGATGGAGGCGAGTGGGTGTTTACGGCTTTAGCTTTTATCATGTAACCATCTCTCAAGTTATACATCTAGCGACACCTCCATCTACATAATGATCCACCCATTCTCTTCATTTCCTTCTCCGTCTTGGGTTTATCCGTCCATCCATCCATTCATCAATCCGTCCGTCTCATATCCATCCATCCAACCATCCTGCACCCATTCATCCATCTATCCATCCATTTATTTGAGTGAATTAATGCGCATTAATTGTTAGGTCGACACTTTATAACGTTTTAAAACCGGAAATCGTTTCATTTGGTCTTCGGAAATTAAATAATGCGAAATCTGGTGTTTGAGTTTGCACATTTTGAGATTCCGTTCGAGGCTACAAAATTCCTTTTTGCGAATTTGGCTGACATCTCATCCTAATTGGCTGTTCCCGGCGCCTAATGCGATCTTAAGTGCCCCAACTTTTCTCAAGTCGACTTACCGCATGTGAATGTCGGAGTCTATAGTCCGTTGCCGCGAGATTTTTCCACTACAATGGCAACATTCAATGCTGAATTGAAAAGTGAGTCTCCCTCTACTCACTTAAAACTGGAAAAGAGACATCAAGGGCTGCTTATGTTGCATCTGTAGACGTTACAAGGGCACGAGAGTGCTTGGAGTATCTAGGCGAGTGACAGAGCTGAATCCTGACTGACTGCCAATTCACGTGTAGTTTGAGATGGTTATGTCGGCACCTTACTCACCATTCTAATCTCACTCTAGACTTTCTCCTCACCTGACACATGTTACCCCCTTTTAGAACAGCACCACAAGTTATCAGTCATCATTGTGGTTTGGATTTATTCCACATTGAAACGCATATCCAACGACATCACAAGCATGTCACTTATCCGTCATTCCAAGACACGACTCGGAAAGTCATAAAGTACATTTAAATGGCGGTGTGACACTTTTGCAACATTATAACATTTTGTTTCTATGTAACTGCGCTGTTTGTCACTTTATAGGTCCATTTCAAATGTCACGGAGTCGCTCCAAGCGCACACTGTTTATGCGTGTGTGCCTGTATATGCATGTGTAAATTCAGAACGAATGAATACATGAAAAATTAAGTTGTGGATTCACATTCATGGTACTGGATTATCAGAAAAAGGGGAGAAAAAAGGTAGGAAAGTGAATCTAAATGCGATAAAGTTGAGTGGAAAGGTCATTTTGCGTCAGCTGACCAATCAAACGCGCGAGACTTTTTAACGTCCATTCACTGCTGATTGGCTGGAAGGAAACCTAAATCGCTGATTGGTCGGCCTGAAGTAGCCGACAGCGGATTTTAGTTTGTTCTTTTTTAGCAGAAAAAAAAACAATGAATAAAGTAGGTGAGTCAATGTTAAGAAATGAACGTCATTTAAGATGAAGTTATTGGCGTCTGAAGCATCAGTCATTGAGGAGAAATGTAATTTAGAACCGTCGTGGTATATGTGATTCGTTTTTGTGTCGATGATATTTCGCCTTGATATTCAGTTGAAATCTGTAAGTTTTTCATCTTTCACCGGATGACATTTTGAATTGAATGTCTCAAACGTTTGATTGTGGTGTATTCTGCAAATAGATCTAGAACTGAGACCACGAAGAAATTTTTTTCTGGTCTATCTTCGAGTTCCTTCAATCAGAACTCTAGGGCAAGCGACAAAAAGCATAATCTAATGGAGCTGAGGTGGTAGGTACTGTAAGCTTGTGACGTGGGTGTTGAATAGGTTGTTCGGAAATAACCAACTTAACGACGACTGCTATATGAATATCCTTCCTCATCACGTGCCAACTAGTCAGTTAGTCAGGCAAACACGCCAAAACAAGCAGATAGGCTTCCAAATTGGTTGTCTGTCGCCTTCTAGATAGGAGACTTTCATTGCATGGTGGACAAGTGGGCGGAATCTATTCGCTTGGGAGTTTCCACCATGATTTGAGCTTTTTCAGTTGATGCGTCTGTGGCTTGATTGTTCCATCACTGAAGTTTTGGTTCGCGTGCTTAGTGTTTAGTGTTTGCACGTTCACCCCAGCAGTGCAGTGCTTGAAGGAGTAGGCTGTCCTCCAGAATGTGCCGCAATATGTCCTGGTGATGTGGTTGTTGAGACGCCTCTTCTGAATGGTGCATTCTGCCGCTGTCTACCGCTCCTCCTCTCCCTTCTGCCTCTCTAAACGCTATGCGACAAATTGACAAGAAGTTATTATTTTTTTAAAACCAGGTTATGCTAGCCCAAATCACTTCCATCAGCGTTCATTCGACCCGCAGGTGGGGGTTTGTGGCTGGGTTCAAGGTAGGGGAAACCCAAGAGGGGTCACATCAAAGAGCAGCAAATTGGTCGGCCGAAACTTATTGATGCCTTATAGTGTCAATCAACAGTCGCGTCATTTACGAGTACTCCCACTTGCCAACAAGTCACTAAATTTAGCCTTATCCAAAAATCCCTGGAACCTTATTTGATCACTCAGTAGAACGCAGTTTTTGTGGTCTGTGGCGATGAATTTTACTTTGATATCCTAGCTTTGACTTTTGTGTGACTTTCTGTTCCTTTACCGGGGTAAATATGTTTGTAGAGGTGCGAAAAAAAAATGTGGAGCTCTGCATTTACTGCTGCACTGCTTTTTGTAGAATCCTAGTGGAGTGTCCAAAAAAACACTCAAAGTGAAGCTTTTTTTGTACTTTTAGGTCAACACGGCAACGACCGGTAAATAGCGCACTGTGATTTTCATTTGTAAGTGTTTACACTTCCTCCTCTATCACGTTCGCGTTGGGTACTGACCCTATTATGTATGCTACTAATAATTTATAAGTAGCAATCTTTTACCAATGTTGGATTGCTTGCAGGTGTTTTGTAGTTTTTCTTTTTCCTTTTTTTCAGAAACCGAACAGCGGCCTTCTTCTCTACCACCCACCGTTAGAACCGCAGGAAATAAGGGGGGTGTCTTTCGAATCGCTTCTTCACTTGATCATTTTTGCTAACCTGTTTCCTCCCCCCGAAGCGTGTATTGTTGCGACGTAATTTTAGTATTAAAAAAATTACCGCACTCCGTCCTTCTATTGCTTGTGCATGTGAACGCGGAGACAGTCGAGAGGTAAGACCTCGGGACGTGGTCCTTTATTGTTGACAAGCAAAGCATACGGTAGGTCTGGCGCGTGTGTACGTGGTCACTGTTTGAAGTGGAACCCGTTCGCTTGGCAGCCTCCACCATGACTTGGCCTGACGTTTGGTGTTCGCGTGCTCATCTCGAATGAGGGCGGGGGGACACTCAATGGCACATTACTTGAATGACTGCCGGGTCCTTCTGAATGTGACGCATCGTGATATGGTGATGTGTAACCGGAATTGCCGAGGTTGTGGAGACCCCCTTCTGAATGATACGTTTAAGCTCCTGCCCGCCACTCCCCTTCCCGACGGTAGAATCACACTAAAACGAGTTCCCTTGAACTTGCGGTTCACCTGACCAGCGAATAAAGCGTTTACTTCCAGACCTTCAATATACTACAATTTCCTTACTGGTGGAACTCTGCAGGAAGCTCTTTGATGGGCTCTTTCGAGACACCCGCCGACCTTAATGCACAACTGGCAACTTTGTCCTTTGAATCTGCTCCTATAGCTGACTAAAAATGACAACCCGATTTAATAATGCTACATATTCACTTCTAGAACTTACGGTTTTAAAGTCAACAAAACTGAGGGGCTTTTGGGTAGTTCATCAAAGTTATTAGCAATACAACGTCTCGATTTCTCAAGTAGAAGGCTCAGGAATTACTCATTTTAAACTTTTGTCTGGAAAAAGAGAGGAGGGAGGAAGAGATGCATTATTTTCCAGCTCCTACTCCGCCTTCTTATTGCCAGAACCATTCAGAAGGGGTTCATACTGTTGAAGGATTTCATGAAACAGCTTTGTCAACTGCCCACGACTCGAAGCATCGGCGTCATTCGTCACATCCAATTTGTACGTTTCCAACAGATCTTCAATCCCCTGCCAGGTTGAACTTGGGTTTGGAATTGGCGTTACAGTTGTAGTCTCGGCAGCAGTAGTAGTGGTGGTGGTTGGAAATGTTGTCGCTGTTGTTGTTGGTTCTGTGACAACGGAGCTTGACGTTGTTGTCGCCGCTGTCGTTGTCACCCTTGTTGTTGTCGTTGAAGTCGTAGTCGTCGTTGTTGCCGTCTTCTTCTTTGTCTTGCTATTACACTTGCCTTCGTTGGTACTCACCTCGCCATTCCACCAGTACGGTTCAATTTCGTAGAACTGCTCCTCTTCTGACCACATTGAATAGTCGGGAGTCTCGTACAGTTGATCTCGAAAGGGGCTCCATGGCAAACTCTCTTCTAGCAGTGGTAATGGATAAAAGTTATGCAGCTCATTGAAATTCCAACTTGCCAACGGAGGTTCGTATTGAAGCGCTTCCATTTGCGGCATGGAATAATCAGGAAGGCTCTCCTGGAAGTCATTAAATTGTGGCCAGTATTCATGATATCCGTCAACAAAGGCTGGTTCTGGCACATTCTCGTCGAATTCCTGCTTCTTTGAAGTTACTGGCTTGCTTTGACTCGTCACCTCCACGGTATTCACTTTGTTTGTGGTCACAGCACTTTCAGTTGTTACATCCTTAGAATCGCCAATCTGCGGTGGTTTTGTCGATTCATCCACAGGTTCTTCTTCATCTACATGTTGAACGGTTTTGTCATTCTCGAAGACAAAGTCACTTTCCGATGTTTCAGTGCTTTCAGTAGCTTGTGTTGTTGTGGTGGTTGTGGTAGGGCTTACAGTGCCTTCTGTCCTCCTCTTCTTCCCACGACTTCTACTCTTCTCTTCACTTTTTCTACTCTTCCTGACACCATCTGTTGCGTTCTGGTTCGTAGAAATGATTCCAACACTGGGAGATTCGATGAGATATCTAACGGGTTCCCTTTCTGAATTTTGAAGCCCATTTTTCACCACTGCCTTCTCCGATTCACCAGCGATCTTCACTCCTCTACTTCGACTTGAGGCTTGTGTGGATCTGCCATTCCTTGCTGCTGCTGGAATGCAGAAAGCCAGACTGACTAGAGTTAGCGTCAGCGCTGCTAACAGAAGCGCCTTCATGGTTCAAATGGATCTGGGAGTGCAGTCAAAGAAGCTCTCACCCTTTGTTGACATCTTCAATGATGTACTGTATGAGGTCACGCCATTGGTAAATTGATTGAAAGGTCACGCCTCGATTTTGTGATCGGAGTTCACTTTGACATAAGATTTGCGTGTTTTTGCAAAAAAAAAAGAAGTTTAAAGTGATTTTGAATACAAGGTGCCGTCGTGTAAGGCGTCGACGCAACGTCAGAGAGGTGAAAAGGCCATCGAATGTGGAGCTGGGTTGGGTAGCAGGATGGACCGTGGTTGATGGTTTGGATGTAAGCTAGCGCGTGAGCAGGAGAAAGAGGGTTAGAAGTGATTGGCAGTCTTTAAGAATGGAAAAAGCCTCAAAAAAACGGTGGACAGGTACAGCAGCTGAACAATTTTTTAAGCTATGCAACACTAGCTGAAGCATATCTCTTTTCAATGGCTTAGAATATCCATCCGTCAATCGTGCATCCATCCATCCCACATCAATCCTGACCGTATTCATCCAGCTCGAACCCCATTCTTCCAGCATCCATCCAGTCCGTATCCGTCCATCTATTTTGAATCCATCTATCCATCCATTCATCCATCCTGAATCCATCCATTCATCCATCTATCCATCCCTCCATCCATTCATCCATCCATCCATCTATCCATCCTGTACCCGTCCATCCATCCCGTATCCGTCCATTTATCCATCCATCAATCCATTCATCTATCCATCCATCCATTCATCCATCCACCCTGTATCCATCCATCCATCCCGAATCAACCCTACCGTATCCATCCGTCCATCCCGCACCCTTCTATGTACCCTCAGGCATGACTCGTTGTCCTCCACAATACTAGTAATAGGAAAACCAGCATCTTTTACTTCAGGAAAACCTCGATGTTTGACCGTGATGGTAACTGGAAGCAAAGCCAATCCAAGAAAGATCAAAACCCCTCCCAACTTAGCCTTCTTTATTTTATTTTTTTGCACATATTTAGGTATGCAAACGAGGTAAAGACAAAGAGAGGAAATTGAGAAGTTAAGGCGATTAGTAGGAGGTGGAAATAATTACTTTAACCATGGGATACATTCATACTCTCCTGCATTTCCAAAGTACTGACGACAGAGTTGCACAAGTCTGATCAAGGTGTCTCTCATCTCTCTCACCTTGTCTGCATCTCTTTGGGCTTGAAGTTGTTTTACATACATAATTATCAAATTCCTTATCAGTCCACTTCTATCATTTAATGACTCCGTGGCTTCCACTTCTTCTGTTGTCGAAATCTTTACCTCCAGAATCGGTACCAACGTTTCTCCAGGTTTGAAGGTGGCTTCAGAAACCGTAAAAGTAGTCGAGTCAAATATCGCGGGGACTTTTGCTGCTTCAGATGTAAAATCGCTTCCACTGCTTTCCTCTACTTCTGAGGTCTTTGCCTCCGGAGTCGATGGCAACGTTTCAGTGGGTTTGGAGGCGGTTTCAGGAGCCATAGAAGAACCAGTCGATGCGTCAGTAGACGTAAGTCCACTTTCCGTGTCCACTACTGGCTCCTGAATAGTCGAGTCAAATTTCGCGGGAACTTCTGCCAATTTCGAGGTAAAGTCGCTTTTACCAATTTCTTCCGTTAACGAAGTTTTCGACTCCAGAGTCGATACCGATGCTTCAATGGATTTGGAAGTGGCTTTTGAAGCTGCAGAAGAGCCAGACGATGCATCAGCAGATGTAGATTTGTATTCTGTATTCACTTTTAGCGGTTGAGTGGTCAATTCAAGCTTTGTGGAGGCTTCTACCGGTATCGATGTAAAATCGCTCTCATCGCTTCCTTCTGCTATCGAAGTCTTCATCTCCACAGTCGGTGTCGGTGTTTCAACTGGTTTGGAGGTAGTTTCAGAAGCCATAGAAGAATCAGATGATAAGTTAGTAGACTTGGATCCGCTTCCAGCATCCAATTCTGGAAGTTGAGTCGTCAAGTTAACTTTTGAAGCGGCTTCTGCCGATTCCGAGGAGAAAACTCTTCCCCCAATTTCTGCCGACTCTGGTGTATACGCTTCTGTTGTGGTCGACGAATCAGCTTCAGCATGCAAAACTCCAATTTCTAAAGCACGTGAGTTTGTGAAGGACTTCGGAATTCCAGGTAATTCCTTTAAATCTGGTATTTGCGATGTCTCAGAAGCTTCCATGGAAGCTTTAGCAGATTCAAGCCCACTTCCTGGCGTTGATAAGATTGTAGAACCCTCGCTTGCAATTTCCACCAAAAGTTTGGTAGATTTAGTCCCTCTTTCTACTTCCACATCTTCTGCCGTCCCAACAGTTCTTTCAACAGCCGAAGTCAACGCACTTAAATCTGTGGCCTCAAAACTACTCGATGTAGGAGTTGTTGACTGGTGTGCAACTCCAGAGGTGATGAAGGTATCGCTGCCTATCAGCAGACACAAAACCAACGCCGGTGAGAACTTCATTGTCATTTTTGACCGCCGTCAGTCTTTGCACGCATCTCGTGGACTTTGTTCCACCACAGGAAATCAATTGAACTTGAAGTTGAGTTCATCGGGTCATGGAAGGTGGTTGCGGTACACGCAGCCTTACTTGGAGTGCAAAAAGAACTGAAAAATGCGGCAGATCTGACTGACAACTGCCGAGTTTACTATGATGGGTGTTGCTCAAGCCTTTCATCTACCAAATTTTAAGCCCTAATGTCTTAGAGATAGGTCGTTCACTTCAAACCGGGACTGGGGACTTGCGAGCGGTACCCACGTATATCCGCACCAGTCTAGACACTTGCTAGTTAAGATGACAATTTTTGACGGTACTGTGCTAATTTAATGGCGTGCTGTGTGGTGGACACGGATGCAGAACCAAAGCCGGATGATATCTAGTTACATAGAAGCCTTCAAACACTGTAGAGCAGACCCTGAACTCTCAGTCGCAGGGTAAGACGGACGATTGCTGCAAACGCGGTATCCCTCCACGTCAGTGACAACCTTGACAATCCACTGTCTTTCCGCAGGGCATTAATTGAGCCTGTGTGGAGTGCTCAACCCCAGCCATCCAATGAGTGGCAGAATAGGTGGAGCGCCGAGGTGGTTAAAGAACTTTGCCACATCCACCTTTCATCCATGACCTAGTTGGATCTCCCAACATAACCGAGTGCCTCGAGGGTAACCACTTCAGCAAGTACGAAGTGAATCAGACTAGCAGTGCAGACTTGACCCGAATGCCAAAAAAATCCTGAGGTAAACCTCTCCATGGAACTGCCGCCGTAGACGAAGAGCACGGGGGGCAAGAGGAGGAAGAGGAAAAAGAAGAATAAAATCTGCCATTGGAACCTGAAATTTACTAGCAAAAGCCATGTACAAGTCAAGGCTGCAAGTGACAGGGGTGACGAGGGACGGCGGGGTTGGGAGGGGGGGGGCTAGGAGAGAGGGGATGTGGGGGGAGAGGGCACTTAAAGACACAGACAATAAGGAGAAATGGAAAATAAATAATTAAGCATGTAATTTCTAAATTTTCATCAATTTTTTAAATAGAGAAAATCATAGGAGGTTGCATTTCAAATGGCTTCTTGCATAACATCGATACACCTAGCATAACTCTTGGATGGAAGGGACAAAATACTCAACACCCAATAAGGGGAGCATTGAAGATGTACTAGATTAGGCACTAAAGAGGAGGTTTCTCCTGAAGGTGGAGAGGGAGGGAGCGGGGAGGGTGTAAGGAGGTGTGCGAGGAGAAGAGATCATGAAAGAGTCCTAATCGGTGATGGTATGGAGGTTTTTTTTGGTTCAACCGCTCCTACTTCACCAACATCTCCATCGATTTTCGGCAGACGGAGCACCGACTAACTTGTCTGAGCAAGTCCGTCTTGTAAGTGGCTCCTGCAGGCTTTGTAAACTGCTCGTTGAAGGTCATCGCTCGCAGCCAATAGGAACGTCCGTCTTGCCAGTGGAAACAATTGCCATGGTGATTGTTGCATTCGATGAAGGGGAGAGCACGGAAGTTCATGAGGCAACTGCCCGGCGAGTGAAGTGGTTGAACTCCACCTGACACCGCTGCGCTGACGACCTGTAGTGCACAAACGGATAAATTGAATGCGAGAGTTAATAAACTAACCAATCAGTTATCACGTCGTCGGTCTTTCAGTCACCAAACAATCAATCAACAATTCTTTACCATGGGCATGCTGAACCCGTTCCAGGCGTGTTCCCATCCAGGTGGACAGCTCTCCTCCAGATAAGGTCGTTGAGAGTGAAAGGCAACGAGATTCGTTCTGGACTCGCACACCACACAACGGGAGATGTATCGCTGGATGCGTTCCACGGGCAAAGGCTCCGTCATATAGTGCTCCAGTGTGGAGAGCCAGAAGGACCTTCCATTCCGCATGTTGAAATGACATGCACCAGAGGGGGGAGAGCTGAAACACGAGGCGAATGGCATGATTGAAAAGACGCGAGTACAAGAGCTTGGACTGCCCAGATCCATGCTGATTGAATCATCGTCGCCTTGAAGTGTCACCAGACTGTAGCCCGTGTAGAGTTCGTGAGTAAATTCCGGGCAGCTGGGTGGAGTATCCTTCTGCGAATGAACAGCGAAGAGGTATCCGCCATCACCAAGACCCAAGGTACCGTTAGGACCGTCGGGACCGCGGTACCCTTGTGGACCGCGCTGACCTTTTATGCCCTGATAACCCATATCGCCGGGTGGACCGCGTTCTCCTGTGGGACCCCGAGGACCGGGAATGTAACCAGCAGAGCCCTTGTATCCCTTTTCGCCTGGAGGTCCCGTTCTGCCCGGTGTGCCTTACAGATTCAATGAATAATGGCAAAGGGTTAGCACAGATATTCAGTTATAGTACTGGAGTTATTCCTATTTAGGCGCTACTGAAGTGGGATTTAAGTAAATAAAAAGCGGACTCACCTTGGAATCCAGAGTAGCCGCGTTCACCTTGGGGTCCAGGTTCGCCGAAATCTCCAGACCTGCCGACAAAACCGTAGCCGGACTTGCCTTTTGGTCCCTTAGGTCCGGGATAACCTGGGCGTCCAATAGGACCTGGAGAGAAAGGCGATCAAATTGTGACTTCATTATCAGGTCGTCAGACCGAAGAGATCAAGTCCAAAGGTCACACATTGCCCACAAATGATAACTCAATTCCAGTAATTGATATATTTTGCTCATTCTTTTGTTCTGACACATCAGTACTTCGTAGCCGTATCTTTCCAAAGCAAAACCATTCAGTCTGCTAATACTAACACAGGCGCCTAACTCACCTCTTGACCCCTCGAAACCGCGAGGTCCGGGCTCACCCGGGTCGCCAACGGGTCCATCGGGTCCTGGACGCCCAGAAATGCCAGGCAGTCCAGGTTTGCCTTTTACACCATCCTTGCCGGGAGCCCCACGATAGCCGGGTGGACCGTTCTTACCAGGTAGTCCAATAGGGCCCCTTTCTCCGGGCAGTCCAGGTGGACCCATATCCCCAGGTTCTCCGCGGTTGGCGCGGTATCCAGGTGTGCCACGATCACCCTGGTCTCCAGGTAACCCTTTGGGGAGAAGATAGATTTTTGTCTACTTGTTAGCGAGTGAGCAGTATGCAGCCATTTTTAAAGATTCTAAGATAAAAGAAAATTTGGGCTATGCAGTAGTATGCCAGCGGTAGTTTTGACGGCCTCCAGATGTAAAGCCTGGACAACAGGTTATCATGCTTTATGTTTGGAATATGCAGGATATCTTGCCACCCGTGTCATACGAAGTTCTTATATCCATCGATTAAACGCCTAACTCGCCACAAAATTAACGGCGACGAAACCATAAATTCAAATTGCCTGTATGCGCCATTTACTTATTAAAAAATAAGTAGACACTTCAGCGTACAGATCCATCTACATACCCGCATTTCCAGGTTGACCATCAAAGCCTCTTTCGCCTTTACGACCCTCTGGACCCATTCGCGGCTGACCGGGAGTACCTTTGAGACCGGGAAGGCCCGCAATACCTTCAAAGGGTGAAAAAATTGATTTCTTACTGAAAAATCTTGACTTTGTCAGTTTGTCCCGTAGGCGCTGCCAACTTTTGCCTTAAAATGCCATGTCCTATTAACAGTCACCTTTGTCTCCTTGAGGTCCGTCAGGCCCTATCCTTCCAGGAGGTCCAGGTTCTCCTTTCGGTCCAGGAGGCGGTATTGGACAGAAACCGGGTCTGCCCTTGGCGCCCTTTAACCCAGGCGGTCCTTGATGCCCAACAAGCCCTTGGAATCCCGGAGGGCCTACGTCTCCTGGCTGACCCATAGATCCATTCATGCCTTGACGTCCAGGATAGCCAGGTGTACCAGTGTCCCCTGGCAATCCTGGATAACCCTCCAGCCCGCGTAAACCAGGTCGTCCACTTGGTCCCGCAATTCCGGGCCTTCCTGAATTACAAATCGGAGGAATAAAATATATTCAGACATGATTTAGATACGTTTAATCTAGTCATTGAAGTGAGAGAGTACCTCTAGGGCCGATTCCGCCGTGCAGACCCGCAGGTCCTGTAAATCCTTTAGGTCCAGGACGACCGCCATACCCTTTACGACCCTTCATAAAGCTTGGTGGCGGGCCTGGATATCCTTCATCACCTCGATCGCCTGCGATGCCTGGTAATCCATCGTCTCCGGGCTCACCGCGATCTCCCTTTTTGCCTGGAAGACCCTCACGCCCCGTGAAGCCTACAGGTCCAGGAAGTCCACGCGGTCCCTAGTTCAGGAAAGGGCAGATGCTAAAGAATTTGCGTTCTCTACTTCAAAAGTTGATACTTTAGGGAAGAAAATATCCACCTTAGGTCCCATTCTGCCCATGAAGCCGACATCTCCCACAGGTCCAGGAATTGGGTCCATGCCAGGGGGACCTGGATCACCGACAGGTCCTCTGTAACCCTTTGCTCCAGGAAGTCCAGGGCTTCCAACCCCAGGACGACCTGGTTCGCCAGGCTTGCCATCTTTGCCATCAACTCCACGAATACCTTTTTCACCTTTTGGACCTTCCAAACCGGGACGTCCAGTCACACCTGGACGCCCATCCCGAGAGATTCCTGGACGTCCACGTCGGCCTTTTGGTCCTGACATACCTGGCAGGCCCATATAACCTATGGGAAATTGAAGAATTAGATTACAAAACAGTTCAAAAGTGGATTTTTTGCAATTTCTAGTTGTACTTACCCTTTTGTCCGTAAAAACCGGGTAGTCCAATTTCGCCAGATCTACCAGAGCGTCCAGCATATCCACGTCGGCCAGCTGGACCCGTTGGTCCAGGTCTACCGGGTTCACCTGTCGGTCCCCTCGCACCGCGTTCGCCTTTTTCTCCCGGTCTCCCACTGAGGCCCTGGAAGCCTGAAAATCCAACTGGACCTTCTGGACCTCGGAGTCCTTGCATTCCAGAATATCCGCGATCACCAGGAGAACCCATATCCCCAGTAGGCCCTCGTCCATAGCACCTCCCAAAGGGTCCGCGTTGACCTTTTGATCCAACGGAGCCTGGAAGGAGCAATAAGCAAAAGTACATTATCACAAGCCTACTGAAAGTGGAAGTGAGTAGTGAGTAGATACCCACCACGAGGCCCCTGAACACCCGGAAGACCAGGGAGGCCTGGAGGCAATCTTGTGCTTGGAAGACCTTGTGGACCCTTTTCGCCAGGTGGACCCATTCTACCAGGAGCTCCTGGTATCCCACTGACTCCGGGAGGACCTGTGGAATAAAAAGATGGGAAATTTTAGGGGATTAGGAAGAGGCATAGAAATGGAAAGAGGAGGGGGAGCGCTTACCAGGCCGGCCTCGAACACCCATGGGTCCTGCGCGTCCTGGAGGACCACGGTCACCTGGAAAGCCTGGAAGGCCCGGTCTACCCTTTTCACCGGGAGAACCGCCAACTCTGCTACCTGGGTCTCCTGGTTCACCACGTTCGCCTAGCCAAAAAGCAAATGTTGTCTTTCAAACCTGCCCTCACCTTAACCAGCCCATCTATCAGTTAGCCAACAAATACACCAATATGCCATCAATACGTCAACCCATCATTCAAATAAATAACCGACCCATAACGAAATTGGTCATTTTTTTCAATCGACTAACCAATCACCTAATTACCACTCACCCTTCTCTCCAACTATTCCGGGGTAGCCGGGATCTCCGGCGATTCCAGGTTGACCAGGAACGCCCATTGGTCCAGGTGGGCCCTCTCGTCCGTCCTGTCCCCTCGAGCCGGGCATACCCATGTCACCTGGCAGGCCAGAGGGGCCTCGAGGTCCACGATCACCGCGGGATCCACGCTGGCCAGCCAATCCCTGGATGCCTACCAGTGGAAACGAATAGACAAGGTTGCATTGTTGGACATAGGAAAAGAGCTGCGTCTCTACACGTGTGCGACCGAGGACGTGACTCACCCTTTGTGCCCTGAGGACCGGTTTGTCCATGAGGTCCGGCTGAACCTGTATCACCCTTGGGCCCACGGTATCCGGGCTCACCTATTTGAGTAAATCAGTACTTTGAGTAATTAAAATTGGACGAATTTAATGTATTATATAATTTATCTGACAACTTTTGTCTTAAAGATAAGTAACATAAACACCTCCTTGAATTGAACCAGTGTTGCTGGACGAATTAATTAGAATTGAGTATGCTGACTGTCTAAAGAAAAAGTGATAAAATTAGAAGGAAATGATTTATGACCATGATGGATGCCTCAAAGACCACCACAATTATCTGGCATTGACTTTAAATGAAAATAAATAGTCCTCTTTTTGTTGTAAACACCGCAGGAATAATTTTTACCTCCTGACCTCGAACGGACCAATAAAATTTCAGCAAGCAAATACGTCATTTATATATGGCCCCAAATCCCAATAAATTAATGTGAAAAAAAAAGGTTTTGAGAGGATTACTTTAATTTCTCACCTTTTTTGTAGACTGGACCAACAAAAGGGCAATCGAAAACCCCACCACGAGAGCCTTTACGGCCCGGCGGTCCAGTAATGCCCATGTCACCAGGTTCGCCTTGGGCGCCCTTGACACCATAACCATCTTCTCCGGGTTCTCCCGGTTCTCCCTTATCACCAGGAAGACCGGGATAGCCGACCATACCATCAATACCCGGTCGACCCTGCAAAACATTGCAGAATTCCGGTATGAAGTAGGGAAACTCCGAAACAATCCTATCGCTGCCTCAATGATAATGTCTCCCGCATTTATCTAAGCCGTGGGTAATCAGATTACCTTAGGACCTCGAGGACCAGGAAAACCAGGCAAACCAGGAGGACCCATTGCACCGCGGTCTCCCATAGCACCGGGCAATCCGTCTCTTCCAGGATCGCCTTGGTCGCCGGGGATGACCTGACGATTGACAAGTGTCACAAAACCAGTTTCACCCGGCTCACCCTTGAGACCGGGAATTCCCGCAACTCCTTGTGGACCCTATCAAAAAAGCGTAAATGGGGAGGTAGAAAAATCATGTTAGCAGAAGAATGATTCCAGAGGTTGCAAAGGTGATGAGGAGTGCTAGTTTGATGTTGATTTCTAAGCCATTCACAGTCATTTATTTTAAATTGACACAAAGTAAGATCATAGTGTTCATGCCACGCAGATCAAATAAGTAGACACAACGTTATGAAACACAAAACTGACTCGAAAACCGTCAAGACCAGGCAGACCGGGCAGTCCGCGAGCCCCAGGGATGCCACGGTCGCCGTCCTGGCCTCTTTGACCCGGCTGGCCGGGCTGTCCAGGTTCTCCGTCCTCTCCTGTCTCACCTCTTCCACCCGGCTCGCCTGAGGGGCAGGCATCGCAGGGTGGAGCTCTAGGGCCTTAAAAAAACGTCGAAATTCCAGTTAGTCCTGTTTAGCCAACTAACATCTACTGTTTAACTAAGCAAAGTCTACTGAGGCTTTATAAAGTAAAGTTACGATCTCCAAAGCCGAGGATTTGAAGTTGATTCCTAATTTAAATCCAGAAAGGGACATTATTCAGTGGCTTCATCTAAAGCTTGGCAGCTAGGTGGTTAGGTGCTTCAGTGATTCAGTTGATTCGAGTCTAGGAAACTAAACTCCGCAGTCCGGAATAGATCAGTGCTTTCATCATACAGATAGGGCAAAGATCTTACCTTTTTCGCCGGCCGGGCCCATTAGACCGGGTGCACCGGTGCGTCCGGGTTCGCCCATATCGCCAGAAGGACCGCGGGGTCCGGGAAGGCCGACGGTGGGGGTACCGCGGTAGCCCTTATCACCGCGATCGCCAGGAAGACCAGGGTCTCCCTTGGGGCCTACACGACCGGGTGAACCGGGTATTCCCGGTTCTCCAACAGGTCCGTACATTGGGGTCAGACCGTCCGGACCTCGGGGACCCTGAGGACCCATGTAACCGGGATCACCGTCCTCTCCGCGTCTTCCTGGCAAACCTGGTTGAGGAAATTAACTGATACTCTTATATGTACTTGAGTAAGCATATACAGCAGGGATATTAGTTAATAAATCATTTCTAATACGTACCAGTTTCACCCTTTTCGCCTACCAGTCCCATCTCACCCGTCTCGCACATACGACCAGGAGGTCCGGGCCTACCACGGGGACCTGGGTCACCCTTGGGACCCTTGTAGCCTGTGGGACCTTGGCGACCTCTGTAGCCAAGGAAACCTTTCGCGCCAGGAGGTCCGCGTTCGCCCTTTCGACCTCGAGGACCAACACAGTCCCGAAGGCTCTGAAAAATTTCACCGAAAATGTCGATGAAAAGCCCTGCTTAGGAAATGCAAACATATTAATGGTAGGATAACTTACCCCTGGACGACCCTTAGGACCTCTAAAACCAGGAAGACCGTCAACTCCAGGAGGTCCGCGTTCACCGGGAGCTCCAGCTGGACCCATTCTTCCCATATCACCGTCAAAACCACGATCGCCCTATCAGATAAAAGCCTTCCTTCACTTGATTGACCAAAAGAACAGCTGTCCGAATGGGTGGAAAACTTACGGGCTCACCGACGCGGCCCGGATCGCCAATATCACCAACTTGACCCTATATTCATAAAAACCAGGAAAATTTTAAAAATTTGTCGTAGATTGTTTCACCGTCTCACAAAACGTTTACAAGGTGGCAAACGCACTCGATCACCCTCACGGCCGGGAAGACCCTTCTCTCCCAGAAGACCCGGATATCCGTCTGGTCCCTGAAATTTTTTTTCTCACTGATTACCACAAAAAATCGCAACTGCATTGGTAAATTCTCAAATTCGTAACTTTATCAAGGAAACAAACCAAGATTAGAAAATAAATGCTTCCATTTTAAGATGGATTGGGAAAAAAAATCCTACCTGAAATCCCTCCGTGCCCCTCTCTCCACGATCTCCCTTCGGCCCGCGTGGTCCCTATAGAGAAAAACAAAACTGATTCATCTACTTTCCTATGCTTAAAACCTCCATTTGAGTAGCATGGAGCACTTACTGGATATCCAGACCGGCCACGCGGTCCAGAGAGGAGTTCTAGAACTTCACAAGGTCGTCCATCACGCCCGGGCACCCCACGAAAGCCTTGATCACCCTTTTGTCCTTCAATCGTAATTGTCGGTGCGTCTCTGCCGGGTGGACCGCGTGGTCCAATCGCGCCTTTGTAACCCTGAAAAGCAACCACAACTTTTTTTCAAGCAGACAGTTATTCCCATGGGTGTGGGAACCTTCAACCAAAGTTATGAGTGCTCGGCAAGGTAGAGTGAAGCAGACCTACCTTTGGACCCATAGGTCCGCGCTCTCCGATGGGCCCATCGTAACCTGGAGGGCCTCGAAAACCCTTTAACAAAAGATAATGTAGATTGATTAAAGTGCAGTTTTAAATGAGGAAGTATTACATGCTCAAATAAAGTAGTTTCAAAAATTTGCACTGGATCATCTGATTATTTTGACATTTGGAAAATACCTCCCGTCTGGTGATAAATAAAGTTGGCGATTGGTGAAGTGAAACAAGGCCGACCGACCACCACCGACCATCTGTCTTAGATTTGCCCGCACTGGTACTTTCCTGAGGTCTAGACATCTGTCGGAGGCATGTTGTCATGGTACACCATGACCCACATCTTGACAAGACTACAGGTGGTCGCTATTATGCCCCACGTCTCACCAACTGGCTTTTTCGTCCCACCACAAATTATTGCGCGTCTAGAAGATTGGAGTGTTTGTGCGTTGCCAGACAACAATTCCACCGCGGTTCTGTTGGCCTCTCAACTATGGGTGGGCACAAATCTCCACTTGTAGGTAGGCATACAGACGGGAAGGCGGGTTGTTGACCGCCGGGGGCTTACCTAATGCCTCCGATTTGTGAAACTGTCTAGACGCAAATGCGCGCACATTCAGGCATCGCCAAGGCCTTGATGTGCCAATACAGTGAATATTTTTGACTTGTTTTGATAAAACAAAATGCATGGAAGATAAAGTAGAACAGAGAGCAAATCTAGGTTGCAAAACTCACAGGTGGACCCATGTAGCCAACATCGCCCGACTGACCCTAAAAAAAAAAAAACAACAACAAGAAAGGCAGTAAGAAACTCTTGGAGCTCTATAAAATAGAACCAGGAGAATGAAAAGGAAGTGAATGAAGGTGCGACAGTACCTAACGCCTATCCCGAAATGTCTATCAAAACCTTTTAACGAGTGGAACTTCTTCCCTATGAGGCATGCGGTCACGCGTTGTGTTGTATTGTGGGAAGAGAACCTTCTTTTCGATGTCTGCCTGGTCTTGAATGTCTCCAAAGATGAAGCTTTTCTCGATGTTGTTCGAGCTTTGCCATTACGTCGAGTCGACAGATCCCACCCGCAATTGCCTCGCCGAGTGAAGGATATTTCGCTCAATTAGGAAGTCACGCCGGCAGCTTTAATCTATCACGAGTCAGCTTCCATGATGGTGTTACAAACTCCGCTACTGATTTTCGATTCAGCCCTTCTCTACACAGACAGAGAATTATGAACTTTTACGTCCCTCGAGAAAACTTGGACGGCACAGTTGTTGAATTCAGCCATGTTTACATATATATGGTACGAAAAATGGCCTTTCAGAGGTATATAGTCAGAATCTTAAAGCCTACTAACCCTCTGTATGCTTAATAAGCGGTTTGAGAATTTACAAGAAGGCACTAAAATAAACGAAGTTCACTTAAATCTACATTAGTAGCCTACCGGTGGACCGGGAGGTCCAGCGTTCATGTATCCAGGGTTTCCTTTCGGACCACGGGGACCGCGTTCGCCAGGGGGTCCCTGAATACCTGAGGGTCCAGCTATTCCAGGACTTCCATCTGGACCCTAACACGGAGGGAAGGATCTGAGATTAGCTGGAAAAAAGCATTATTTTTTGGTTGATGAAGTATGCGGATAATGCCTACCCGAGGGCCTTCACATCCAGTGGCACCCCGTGCACCTTTAATCCCCCTTCTTCCAGGGTGACCCTGAGATAAAAGCAAGGAATTGGTAAACTCATAGATCAAGCCTTCCAAATACCAGAAAAGGCCAAATGAGACATCTTTACGGCTGAACTATTAGTAACTAAAGGGTCCAAAATTGAAAGCCACTGCCTTGGTTCAAGAATGACGATTCTGACTACATACATTCCATTCTTTGTTATTTATGCATTAAGCTCAGGGCGTGTCATAAAACAGTGCAGGCCAATTAGAAAGTTACCTGCAAACCATGAATGCCGGCATATCCAGGTGGACCTTGAACACCCTGAAAAAGTTGAATAAGTTTAAAAAATCTTTATTAACTTGGTTTTTTAAGGGTGTGAAAATTATCTGCTGATGATTGTCGAAAATTATCAAACATATTTTGGACTGATTAAGTAAAGACAAAATGTGTTTTAAAAAATAGTTCGTTGACCTGGAAAACCACGTTATGGAAACTGCACAGCTATGTTTTTGACTAACATTTACCAAAACGAATACTTTTAAATCACAGTTAGAGGAAGCTCTACAAATTTCAACAGTTTGTGCTTAAATGTAATTTAAACTGCTTCATGTGAAGGTGAGCGAATTTTTCGTTTATTTTACTCCTTTTTATAATTCAAATGGAGGCCTACTGGTTTTTTAAAGTTTTCTTGTGAAGTAGCTCAATTTTTCTTATTAAAGTAGTTTTTAGTTGCCAGTTCGATGCAATTAGCCGACGTTTCCTTATAATACTCATCGACAAATATATGCGACTAGTGTACAAATGGCCTTTTTAAGATCATAAAAACTAATGGAAAAGTTAGGTTGGCTTTTGAGGGGGCGCTGTTGTGTCACTACCAGTTAGCAAGGAGCACTGAGGATAAGCGCTGGCTATTTGTGCCTAGATTCGGTTATATCCTTTGATAATTTGTCTTTCTGGACAGGTGTTTCCACGAGTAAATATTGCCATTTAGAGTGCATCCTTGGGGTGCCACTCAGTCTTGAATGGTATTAGGCCTGAACCTCTCATCGATGCAGCTCATGGAAGGGATTTAACTCTAGGTGCGGTAAAAATTGACAAGGTGCCTTACTGACGCTTTACTTGAGCATCATCTCGCCTTCCTTACGGCTTACTGACTTGCATTTCCACCTCGCCGGTAAATTTTCAAAATGCTGATTGCGCAGTGCTTACTGCACGGGAAGCGTAGGCAAGGGGAGTTCATGCGACTGCTCTCACAAGAGGGAGGTATCATGACTTTGCTTTCTCCAGACTTTTACAAGCTTCAGAGGTTACTCGGGGAGGGAAGGAGGACAATAGCAAGATTTCAAACTTGTTTTGAATTTGACTGGAAACTTTGAATTTTCTGAACCAATGATTTTCAAATTTTTGCCGAAATATTCCTATATATAGCATAGTTTGTATATAAATACAATCAAATGAGAAAAACGGCCTTCTGACTAATCTAATATCAATAAATATCCAGGGTGAGGATTCAAACGTGCTCACCGGTTCTCCTTTTCGACCCTGAAGCCCAGGAGCACCAGGGTAGCCACGATCACCACGTTCGCCAGGCACTCCGGGCATACCCACATCACCAGGAGGTCCCCAAGCTCCCACCGGTCCTACTTCGCCCGGTGGTCCCTAAAACAAACGTTAGGTTCTCAAGACGATTACCCACCTATCTACTGAAACATGGATTTGAGTAGTAAAGGAGGACGTACTCTGGGACCGCGAATTCCGACGCATTGGCATTGGTCTGGTGTGCACAATAATTGGCATCGCGCAGGATCAATCTGCCATGGGATTTGCTTTAAAATAGAAAGTAGTTTTCTTTAATACCTTACTTCTAGTAGTTTTCCATTTATTTATTTACCATCAGGTGGGTTTTTTGAGATCAATTACAACTTTTTTTCTCCTTTCCCATAAACAAGACTGGCTGTTAAATTAGTAGTGAAGTGGTAAAGTATGCCTTTGAGGAATTGAATAATTGCATACTTTTGGAGAGACAAGAATTCAATTTTCTGCTTCTGGAAGTATTTTTTTGCTTACCAATAATCGCATGTATTTTTTTGATTAAGCCATGATTAGCCAATCATAAATTTTCCACAATGGAGAGCACATTTAGTGAAGAGAGTCGGCATTATAGGTAGAAGACCAAAAAACCTAAGTTGTGAGAATTTAGAAAAGAAAAAAAGATATTTTCGTTCACACGATTAAGAGTAACTGTCAGTTTGTTTAGAAGGTAGCAAGAGGTCGGGAAAATAAGAAAAGCTTTTTGTCATACCGCTGAGGCAGAAGCGACGAGGGAAAAAAGGAGGGCTATAGCCACCGTAGCGAGGTATGAAGAGTGAAGCCTGGATGCAAAAAAGGCAAAAAAATTGCATATAAGGCTATTCGAACATCCACTTGGCATTTGACGGATGGGGTGAGGGGAAAGAGAGGAGGTGGCAAATAATCCTTTTGCCTTATCAACATTTTGCACGACAGATCTGTCAAAACGGGTCAATCAAACATGTCAAAAGCCTTTGCTTTTGGGCAGTTGATTTTAAGCGTCTCGTGAAGGTCAGTTTGGCACTTTGAAGCATTGGGTATTTCATACTTTTCTCTTTTGTAAAAGTTTTCACTAGCCAATATCCGCAAACATATCCCAATTTTTGGTGCGTCGGATGAGCTTCTAGAGCCTTAAATCCGATTCTTCGAAGAAACCTCCCTCGCGAATCAACAGAAATAAGGGGCAAAGGTGGTTTTGCCGAAATTACAACATTTATAGAATGAAATATGGCCGTGGAGGAGGCAGGAGAGCGGGGGAGGAGAGAGGAGAAGGATAGGGAGGGGAAATATCCCCTGGGTAGATAATTCCAGGTTATTTGAACTGATCGCCTCGGTATCACGGGTCACTTGCGCGACCACAGCAATCCAAACTGTAGCCTTGCAAGGTCACGCCGATGTCAAGCAGAAAATGCCACGAATGTGATTGCTGTTTGAGGGGTGGTTGTCGTGGCTAGGCGATGATTGGTCGGATGGCTGGGTGAATGAAGAGGAGGACGAAGGGGGAACGGTCGGGGAGGGGGGAGGCGGAGGGTGGGCGGAAGAAAGCGGCGTCGGCAAATGTATGCAGTGCGTGGGGCGAACTGTGGGAACAGGTGTTCAATCTGGTTGTGCGGTCAAGCCCGTTCAACTCCGTGGCCCGATTAGCGGTCAAAAAATCTGCACAACAATCGCTCCAACAGGCTAAAATCCGCCTCGTGAGAGTCATGTGAGCGGTCGTCAAATGAAGAAGCAAAAAAGGGAAAAGCAAATGTTTGCAATAAATTTTTAAATTAACTGTTTGATTAAAATGGGAGGGTTTTGTTGTCTATTCGCAGGTTTTTGTTTAAGTAAGTCAAAAGTGTAACAAAAACAGCTGCTTTCGCGACTGCTCGATCAGCTGATATGGAACCGCCGCTTTTAAAGCAGCTAACATGAAATACAAACAGAAAAAATAGTCTTTTTTCTACAATCTTGCTCCCTGTAGAATAAGAAGTTGCACTACTAACCGGGCCTCTCGCAAAATCCACCTTTTTCGCATAAACACACACAGAGAAAGGGAGAAGGCGGAGGCTAATAAATTAGCCGCATTTAAAAGGCTTTCAGCGGCCAAATTTGAGATCTTTTTTATGGCCACAACTGGCGATCAAACCCTCGATTTCGAGGATGCCAATTCCCACGGGATGGTGGCGGAGGGGCTTCTGAAGTTGCCGTTAATTCCACTTCGATGAGAGGTCTCTCCTTGAGCGGGGATTTAAAATTACAGTACTAATTGCCGTCCCGGGGGGTGATTCACTTTGCGAGGGACAAAAGAAGAACGCCGGGAAGAAAAAAATATGGAAATGGTCACACGTTAACCTGTGCATTGACATTAAGCTTAACGACAAACTCCGAAACAGGCACATCGTCAACTTTCTCCTTTTAAAAAAGGACATTTTTACAATCAGGAGTGTGAGTCAACGAGGGCTAAAGAGATGTCGCTTATCCTTCTATGCTTTATTGGTGCATGGGGAGATTTTGTTCCTCAGGGTTCCATGAAAATGGATTATAAAGTCGTGTTTGCTAGGGATGTTTCAGGACTCACTTGAAGGCGAACTTCTCCTCTATGCTAATCAGAATTCAACCTGCTGTTATTTATGTCAGAATTTGGCGAAAAAGTGGCTGAAACTTTACCTTGCTTCTCATTAGCTGGGAGTAAACAGGAAAATAATGGAAGCACTTCCAAACCGATACTTGAGGGCGGATCACTTCTTCCACGTTAAAAATCGCCAATTAAACCAAAAGAATGAATAAGGGTCAAGAACATTGTTGGGATTGTAAAATTTACCGAGTTAATGCATCTGACGCGACTTGTCAATCGGACGTGAAGTTGAGTCAACCCGATGGGACATTTCAAGGTAGTAATATGCTACCAAAACCCATATAAATAGCATCACAAAGGCCCATATTTTGCATGTCCAGTTTTTCTACTTCCCGGATGACTGGTGGAGGCGTTGTGTGAAGTAGCCTCACCAGGGACATGGGGTGCGAAAATGGGGACGTAAGGGACAAAAAGGTGACATTTCGGGAGAAGTAAACAGGGCAACGTCTCCCACAGCGCAGAAACATATTGTAATCTACTGTGTTGAACACAGGCTGGACAAAAACAATAAGCCCACATGTTGTGTCCAATGACAGGATCAGAAAAAAAACAAAAAGTGGGCATAAAATAAATGCGTGCTACAGATCGCACCATACAGAACTTATTTCTCAGGCAGCAGAATAGGCTGACACAATAATGGAACTTTTCAGGTTTTATAGAGCGAAGCACGAATCGAGTTGTCGTGGATTTCGTCCCCTACATCGGCTGGGAGGGTTAGAAGGAGGTTAGAGACACCCGAAGTTCTGATAGCGGCAGAATGGTTTATAATTCTCTTTCTCCTCTTTTTCCATGCCTTCACTGAAATTGATCGCTACCAACCCATGGCAGAGTACTTCGCACCAGCACGTGTTTTCAAGGGTTCTCCTTGCCCTCCTTCACCATAAAAAAGCTAGTATAATTCGCAAATAATTCACAGAATTTTGCAAACCCACCGGTTTGTTTTAAAGTCGTAGCAAGCAAATTGCCTCATTGAAATAATCTTTATATAGATGCATAAAATACCGGAAAAACGAGCTCAAGAAGTACCTAATGCTTTGGGAATTTATTAAAAAAACCGCCAAATTTTGTTTGAAGTTACTTGACCGAAAAATCGATATTCGCTTTGGAATCAGCTCCGCGCATTTGAAAAGAGGCAAAAAATGATCTTTTCCACTAAAAATTGATTCAGTCTGATCGGGTCAAAAGTGCACTTAGCTTGGGGATGATAAGTGGTCAATCAGGAAGTCAAAGAGCATGAAAACCATCAAGAAATTACCTAAATTGTGAAGCCGAAGACGCCAAAAATTGGGTGCTAACGCCTTGGCGGTCACACTTTCTCGACAGCATAGTCCACGCTACTGTTGCCGCTGTTGATGTGGGTGTGTGTGTTTTTGCGTGTATGTGCGTATATGTGTGCCTATGCGCTTACGTGTACGTAGACACGGAAACAAAGTGTGTGCTACTACCAATCTCCTCCCCTCACCACCTTCAGTGATAGTCCCGCCAACGCACCCATCGCCTAACCGCACCACATCACAGCCTCTCTCCTCTAGTCCCCATTGGCCTCTCCCACCCCAACCAATCAGGTGGAATGTGTGCTTCTGTGCATGTGTGTGCGCGGAGGAGATTGCCTGCCTGCTGATGGACGGATGGATAAGTCGACCCACTGACCTGGGAAGGTCATCCCGGGCTGTCCATGCGCAGTTCGTATTTCTTGCAACCGTTTAATAGGATTCTTTTCTCAAGTCACACAACTTGTAGCATCAACTCAAGGGATCGGCGGACGCTGCGATGTGGTGTGGACGTGAGGAAAAGGGCAACTAATTCAACTGAGTTTTAGCTTCTTACAATGGAAACGAATTGTCTTAGCATAGGCGGTACCACGCAGGGCCGGTATCCGAGGCCGTTAAATCAGTATAACGTTCAAAATATTACTATCATGCTAAAAGAATGCACAAAACAAAACATCGATTGTTGGTGAGGGGAGGCCCCTTAGCAACGAGTTTGACACTTAAGCGAATTTATTTGTGGATAATCGCTTGAAGACTATGGAACCTTAGTCCAAGCCAAAAAATAGACAAGCATTTGAGACTTCACGCTTGGGTTATCCCTTCGTCCGCCCTGTATCAATCATTCCATCCATCTCATCCATTTAACGTGGCTTGAATTGCATATGTGTTTTGGCCGACGAATTGAATTAAAAAATTAGCCACCTAAAACTTAAGCTGCTTCAGCAGCTTCCAAAAGGTGTCCTAATAAGTTAGAATGTTTGACGAAATTGCTTGTGACATAAAGCCTTATTCATCAACCCGGAATTCTCTTAAGTAGACGCATAAGTAGCAAATTTGAACCACCCTTCACTATTATCTTCATCACCTTAAGGTTACTTTTAATTTTACTTCAACATGAAGTTGGTCAAATGCATCCAAACTCCCACTCGCCATTCTATTCCATGCACACACATATTTTTAGAAGGCATACTTCTTGTGGCATTGGCATTTCATGAGTAAGAGGGTGGGAATTGTACACTCCCATCAACCTCTGGGAATGGTGTGGGATTACACGAGGAGACCTTACAATGGGGTCTTCACTTCTGCGCATTTCAGCTGAGGAGTAAAAAGAAGAAAAAGAGGGAGATTTTTAACACCCTGCAGTGCAGTGGAGTTGTCGAAAAGGCACTTTTTTGAGCCTCTTGGCGAAATAATGCTGTGATATTTAAACCCGATAAATACCTGAAATGTCATGCTCTGAAACCACTTGCGCAAGGAATTTGTTTTAACTAAAAAAAGAGAGAAAGGAAAAAGTGGACACATTTGACGCTTACAAGTTTAATATCCTTCTCGTGGAGCGTCAAATTTTGACTTCCAAGTATTACCTCGAGCCCTGACGTGGGGATCGATTGACAATAAAACCCCAAAATGCACGTTAGAATTTTAGTAAGCCATTTTTCTTTACGATTAACTGGATTCTATGCATGAAGAAGAAATAATCTTTTTGAGAGTAATATCACAAACTGGCTTTCGTGTTTAACAAATGGGATTGTTAATGTGGTAGGCGTGAAGTGGTCAGATGAAGGTATTTTTCAGCATGCGGTCTTTCGAGGTCTTTAAGCCCTCCACCTTCACCGTTGACCGTGTGGATGAATGGTATTGGCTAATCCGCCGATTTCGGATTAAATAGACCTACAATTGGCTTGAAAAGCGTAAAAAATATGTCAGAAATCACCCGATTTTATGACACAATGATATTTTTCAATCGCCAAATAAATTGGATGACTTAAAGCCAATGAATGAGGAGGGGAAGAGTGGAGCGCTTCATAAACTCTCTTGACTGGAAGCTGATTGGTGGAAATGAACTCGAATTCTCAATTGCGCTTTATAAGCATTGGCTGATCGGTAGCCAATCGATGACTAATAATTTTCGACACTCACTTTTGATTGGGCGTCAGGTAAGGAAAAATTGATGGTTTATTCTATAATCTTTCCGCTATTTTTCCCAATTTTCAAATTCGATCTAAGAGAATTGGTGCATTTTTGTAATCACATGAACTAATTTGTCCATTATTGATATGTGTCTGCTTCTACACATCTGACAACTAGATTGGATTATTTACAATGCGAGCATTGTTTATTGTTTGTTGGCATCAAATCAGAGCATAAAAAAGAAGGCCCAAAGGTGTAGGGTAGTAACAGCACTGCACAATGCCAGTGTGCAGGTCTTAGATATCGAAAATCTATGTGAATTGGGGAGGAATGCAAGGGTAATTAAAGATCCCTCGCAATCTGACAGCCATAAAAGGTGGAAATGATGGTAACCATTTGCCCATTCCCTATTTCCTGCGTATAAATGGATTACTCTTTCGAGGAAAATAGTCGACCAGTAGTTTGCACCATGTAATACGTCTCTGGAATGGTTTAGTATAAAATACACCCTTTTAAATGAAGCACTTTATTGTTTGAACTCTCAAATTTCCTTGCTTTTGGTCAACCGATACACTTCTTTTTGCAGAGGACACACTATTACAGATGCCGTTCGCAAATGACCATCCTTCACAGGATGTCTCGTTACAGTCGCAGAAGGCAATAAGGACGACTCCTAGAAGGTGGCTATTCAAAGAAACCATGTTTGTCTAGATATCATCGTGATGAGTCTTCTCTTTTCCGCGAATTACCTATCCTCTTGGTGATTTGGCTTCTGGTGCGACATTTCCAGCACGATCTGAAACGGCTTGATGGAATGTCGGCATCTGAAGAGGTCGCTAAATGGAACAACAGTTTACAAATCTAGCACAATGGAATTCGGATCCAATAAAGGAGGGAATCTCTTAAACCCCTGAACTTAGGAGACAAATGATTGCTTAAAAATGACAACAAGAATTTAACAAATCGCTTAAAAAAGTTGATTATGATGAGAAGACAGAGGTGGAGGACCTGTTCACTAGTTGTAATGACAATGAAACCTAATGTAAAAGTATAAAGTAGGGAACGCTTACTGTCAAAAATGACAGTGAATAGAGTTGTTTTGTGTGAATTTTAGGGAGTTGGAAATAAAATTACGCATTATACGTGTGTTCTCCTAAAAATCTACTTAAAAATATGCAAATGCCACGTTTTGAGAAGTGGGCGCATGTAAAGGCTTCTTTACCTTCGGTGGTACGCTTGAAATGGGCGTTAGTAGTATGGAACAGAGCTATCGCTAGCTCCGTTAATGCTTGATTGGCTGCCTCGACAATCCTCCCAAATCACCTAAACCTCCATGAGTCATAAAAATTGGAAGACTTTTGGGAAAGGTGTGATGAAAATCGTGGGGTCCGCGAGTCAAGTCCTGCATCAGCGTGCAGAAAGGCTGAGAGCGGGGGGCGGTGGGTGACCATCGCCATCCACTAGTGACGGGAATGAAATATAGGCACCAAACTGGTGGCAAAATCCGTGCGCTTAGGTGTTCATTTCATGTAAATAATCGCTTGATTGCCGCACGCTAGAAGGGCTTTCAAATGATGTTTTTGTTCCCTTTTCCTTCTACAAATAAAACCCGACTTAGTGAGTTTCCATTGGATAATTTTAACCATGCCGCCATCTTCTAAGGGTTCTGGGAGCAGTTCTGCCTGGACTGAAGCCATCTTTGCTACCTGGAAGTCTTGGTCACTATCGTCTCAAACCGTAGATGACTACTAGGACCCCCTAAAGAAGAGAAAGGAGGTGGCTACGCTTGTGAGCCCTCCTTTGTAAAGGAAACCCATAAAATACGTCGCGTAATCAAAAGTGATGGAAAAGGGGTGTGTTATTCAAACTGGAGAAGGTGATATAAGTCACTCCACGTGCTTCCACTTAGGCCTCTCAAATTCCTGTCATAATTCGTACTTTTGTGGTCTGACAATTAAAGTAGTGCAAACGGGACCATAGAAACGTAAAAGCACGGGGATTGGTGAGTCATCCAATAATGTGCACTTTTCAAGGTGTCAAATGTCAACTTTTCCCCAATAAAGTACATTACTTCCCTTCCGTTTTTTAATTTTTTTTTCTAGTTATGGCGCAAAATTAGAGAATTTCTTGATAGGTAGATTTATTTTAAAAGAAGACCAATCCGCAAATGTTCTTTTCCACTTTTTAAAGCACTTTTATTTAATTAATGAGTTTTTGATTTTCTTTGCTTTGATTTACATTGTGATAGATAATGCCATTTTCGTTCTTGGCTTTCAGTTAATCCATGTACCTATCTAGAGGAGGGGCTTTACGCCCCTCAGAGCTTCAGAATTCAAAAGGACCTTCGCAACAAATGGGTTTTATTGTTTTAATGTGAAAAGGAAAAATGTCTATAATTATCCGCAGATCAAGAGTATCACGTATCAAATTTACTGGTTGCCTCAACCTTCTCTGTTTAGGTAGGAAAATTGGGGTAGAGGGGAGTGGGGGGTTACATGTGTAACTCCGTTGATAAACCCTTTAATTTTGGCAATTTGTGAAGGATTTTATCCATCAAAATACTCGTTATACCGTAGTTTGCAAGACTTGTATTAATCCCACTGCCCCGATATCTTTCCAACTACCCAGACTATCCCATTTCGAAGTCTACACCTCAAATCTCATGCCCACCAGTGTACAAACAACAATGTAAACCTTTCTTCGGGAAAATATGGGGATTGCTTTTAGTCCCTGTTGGTAAATACTGAATAAAGGTGTTTCTTCTTCGAATATCACAGACAATGTTAGACTAATTTGTACTGGCGAAGGAATGAATTCCTCAAATTCCAGAAGCATTCTGCCTATTTATTAATAGTTTTATACTTTTATAACACTGTAGGTTGGCTAATAACCTATTGGATACCGATTGTAAAAAAGAGGGAAGTGAAATAAATAACAATTCGAAATTAACAAGCAGTTCTTAATTGATATCAAACATGAGAGAGTAAAAAGAAAGCTTTTGATTATTTTAAATAGCTTGGCGTTGATGACAGGTTTAAATGCCGTTTTGCTGAGCGCTGTTCAAACTGGGGAGCCGTTTGGTTCCCCTCAGGTGATTGGCTTTCTATCGCAGAGCTGTCTACGCTATTTGGATGAAGGTGTCAATTAAGTGAACGCGCGACACCTCCGCCACTCCTTTGCCAGCCGGACAGAACCGGGGTGGCTATAGCGGGGCGGCTTTGAAGTAAGAACAACTTGGCAAGGGGGAAGTGAAGCGAATCCTTGTTCCCAAGGTACTGTTTTAAATCCCGTCCTTTCTTACATGACTCCGCTTTTAGGCCAGTGTTCCTCCGACTAGCGGTGGATGCGGGTGATAATCAGCACACCCCCCAGTCCCCGAAACCAGTTTCCATGCGGGATGAAACTCCAGATCCAGTGAAATTGCCAAGAGGGATTAGCGACGTTGTGGTGAAGTATCTCCTCAGATGGATAGAAATTTGATGGCTGGTAAGGCCGGCTCGTGGGTATTTCCTTATAGCACCGACTACGTTGTGATGACTGACGCGGGAGGTTGACCAAGGGTAGCTCCGGGATACGATGGTCGTTTGACTTCTGATTTTGTTAAGGAGTTACTTTGGGTTCCCGCCATTGTACCTTCGCCGGGTGGGCTGACATCTCTCCTATGCCGGTACCCTTCAGTCCCGCCGTGCGTCGATACTACGCATTATGCTCGAGTATCGTGTCTTCTTTCGTTTTCAAGGAAGTCTCGGGGCACTACAATGCGGATCACTTTCATACCACCCTCGGCATCCCAAAAACTCGGCAAATTCCAGACTTCCTTTTAGGAGGCTGTCGGAAATCATGATCCCAAATCTCGGAAAGTCCTAATCCACCAGATACGAGATTAAATGAAAAAAATTGTCCCAAAATTGTCAGGGTTATGGAAGTAACCAGGAGTAAGGGAGGGAAATCGGTTTAAAGCCACCTGTTTCGGTCATTAAAACAATCCGAAAATCTGCCCTGAAATCTATTTGCCGATGGGCATTCACTTGCTTCCCTAATAAAGGAGGACGCAAGATTTACAGAGTTTATTTCCTTAGGACAAAAAATAGGCCAGCATTTTGTTTTGAGTGACCGTTTCGATTTTTCAGAAGGACCCATCTTCATGGTCAACTAGCGAGCCTTCCAGACTATCAAGTTCTTGCTTACCCCCTCCTGATTGGCTAATATCAAGTATAGGCGCACGCTAATCCCACTAATAACCCCTCTAAGGTCCTGCAGTTTCTGTGATGACGCTTGACTGAGATAGTCTAGGATCCCCGACATCCCCCACGTCCCGGCCAGCCGTCTCCTTCTGTACTGATTTCTTTTGTTGACTAATCGGACTGGAGACTCTAATGGGATTCCCCTCGGGATTAGTCCAGTTCTAGTAAAGTACACCGGTTGTGTTTTTTCTGTAAGAGAATATTTGTGTAATGTCACAAAACTCTTATATCCGTTTAGCAGTTTTGATGGGGTGTTTTACCTGGAAATGCACAGATTAGGCAATCAGTGCTATGAGTACTGACAGTGAGTGAGTGCCATGATCCTGACGATGCATTTGCATCCTCATCATCACCATTTCAGCATCACGTCACCTCTGGGAGAAAAAAGCCAAAGAAACAACGACTGTTTGTGTCGAGTAAAAAAGGAGCGGCCTCAAAGACGGCTCGATCTAACATTTATTTGAAGACAGGGACTAAAAAAGAGTAAAGGCGCCTCTGCTAGGCAGCTACCGACACATTTATGCACTCGGGTAGCAGCAGCTCCGGTGGAGTGAAATTTCTCTCACAGTGATGCCCGTCGGCATTTCGTGAGAGCCTCCTAATTTTTAAAAGGGATTGAAAGTTCCTCATTTTTTGAGGCGGTCCCGACCGTTAAAATCAAAGCTGGCGGAAAACTGATGAGGATGATTAACCCAAAATTAACCACTACTAGCCTGCATCCAGATTTTGGAGAGGGCAGGGAAGTTCTAAATCAAGAAATTTCCACATGGAAAGAAATAACGAGATTTAAAAGGTCTCCGCTTTCCTTCATTAAGCCATCTCTAAACTTTTCCTGAATAGCTGAACCCTTGAAATGCCCTTTTTGAAGCATTGTTAAAACCTTAAACCAATTTTGTTGTCTAAAAGTCACCTTTCCATAACACTAAGGGAAGAAATTGCCTTAGTTGCAGGAGACTGACAGCCTATTTGGCCATTTAATGTCAAATCATTAGGGCCCAGTTCTTAAATCCAATTGACTGAGGGGGGATGACAACTCCGTAGGCATTAAACACCTTGACCCGTGCCTAGGTCAGGTCACTTTCACCATTCAACTGTCACGTTTATTTGTAGGGGGGAAGGTGGATGCAGAGGAAGTGAGAACTGGGAGGGAAATATTGTTTGTTAAACAAAACGCACTACAGAAAAAAGGTGATCAGAAGTTGCAACCTGATTGGTTCTTTTGGTTTCTCCGTAAGCGCTGGTCACCAATCCGAAGTCTAATTCAGAGTGATTGATGGACTTGAGGCACAGTCCAGCCTTTTTCCTCTAGAAGTTTGTTTCAAGGGCCTACAAGTGGGCAATTATCAGCCGTCTTGAAGTAAGCCCTCCTTTAAAAAGTCCACAATCGAGCTAAAGCCAAAATGTAGGTCAGATTAAACGGCTTCACTTCCCAGCACAGTCATCCAATTTTACGACGCAATAATCCTGGATTCGTGCCAATTTTTAGTGTTTCGCGTTACCATAACACCCACGCGTGACGTACCTTATTGAAGCAAAGATT